TGGGGGATCCTTCGCCCTCCACTGGGGACCGGCAACCCAGTCTCCAGACTACAGAGATCAGTTCTCCTGGAGAAAATGGCAGCTTTGGAGGGTAGATTCCGTGGGATCCCATCCCCGCTGAACTCCCTTCCATCCCCAGTTTTCAGGAATTTCCCAAACTAGATCTGACAACCTTAATTAGCCCTAGTAATAGAGTAGACCGGCTGAGGGTTGCTTTTTAAGCATTTATTATTATTTATTATTTTTATTTATTTCATTTCATTTATACCCCACCCTCCCCGCATGCGGGCTCAGGGCGGCTTACACAGGCACAAAAGTGCGATAAAAATACAACAAGTTAAAACAATTAAGGCACAAGTGCAGTAAAAGTCAACAGTTAAAACAGTTTAGACAAAAATGCACATTTCACAGGATACATCATGACTACAATACTTACTCCCTATTGCATATCCCAATGGGGTCAAAAAAAGGGGGGGGGATGCCATGGGCCACGATATTTCAGCTGGCCATATATAATTTAAATGATTATATAACCATTTAAAGGGATACAGAATGAAAAGGGACAAAGAGGAAACTGAGACGCATAAAACATCATTTTGTTAAACACATTTTAAGGATACTGCATAATATAAGAATATAAAACATGAAGTAGCATCATAACAAATAAAATTATGGTAAGATAATGAATTCTTCTTTCATTTATATTTCCATTATTTCCATTACTATATAAGCAAGAAACATAAAAAATAAGAGGAACCCCCCCCCATTTTTCTTATCTTTATACAAGGTTTATACGATCATATAATAATTAGTAAAATGTAACGATTAATGATTAATGAGTATAACTACGAGAGTATGATTATACGATTTGAGTATTAATCAATTTAAATTTATTTGTAACTCCTCTAAAATCTTGATCTAGTCTATGTAGTTTGTCTGTAGTAATTATAAAAGGGTCTCCACTTATTCTTGAATTCAACGATTGCCTTTTTATTTATATAGTTCATCATCTTTGCCATAACAGCATCTACCATTTCTATATTGATGTCTCCATGTCAGTGTTTTCCAAGGTTTAGCAACCTGGCAAAGGATTGCATTCCAGCATCACCTCTGCCTGCAGAACTACTAAACTTTTACACGCCGAACTGACACTGGTGCACATAACCATATGATGTTTTCTTAGCAGAAATCACTAGCAGAGCCAATCAAATGAAAGAACACATAGGTGAGCTGGATAGGTTGTTAGCGTGTTCATGTTTAAAGGACTACATTTTTAATAGACTGAACAATTGCTTTATTAAGCGAAATCGGCACCCCCCCCATTTTGCAGAGCAACAGCCGAGGTTTCAACATGGCTATTACTGGGGATCCTATAAAGAAAGTTTGTTCGGTGCCATTTATTCGTTTTGTCCATTGGCCGGGCCAAAGACACCCTCTCCTCCATACAAGCAATCAAACAGTAGATGCCCAAAGCAAAGGCGACTGAATCCTATTTATCTGAACAAATGTCGCATTATTAAGACATCAACAGACATGACCTGCTCCCTCTTTCTGTGCTGAAACTACTGGTCACACTTGGGGCACTTTCTTCTTACCTCCATGGGCTGTGGAGAAGCTACCTGAGAATTTTCTCAGTCCCAGTAATGAGAGCCTGTGTGGCGTAGTGGTTAGAGTGTCCAATTAGGATCTAGGAGACTCATGGAAGCTTGCTGAGCAACCTTAGGCCAGTCACGCCCTCTCAACTTAACCTACCTCACAGGGTTGTTGTGAGGATAAAACAGAGGGGAGGGGAATGATGTAAGCCATTTCGGGTCCCCATTGGAGATAAAAGCAGAGAAAGAAAGAAAGAAAGAAAGAAAGAAAGAAAGAAAGAAAGAAAGAAAGAAAGAAAGAAAGAAAGAAAGAAAGAAAGAAAGAAAGAAAGAAGGGCCCTTTCAAAATTCCTAGGATATGTGAATAATGGGACAGGAGGGTACAGCGATCCGTAGAGTATCGGTATATTTATTACTTGAGCCAATGTTCCCTCTAAGCTGTGGAGTCTTGTGAGCAAAACTTCTACTTTGTGAGCTACTGGCGTTAAAGTTGTGAGCAAGCGATTTGGCTACTGCATAAATTAGTTTGCTCTGGAGCCATCCCTCCTGAGCTGAGACAAAAATGTGTGAGCCAGAGGCTAAAAAACTGTGAGCTAGCTCACACTAACTCAGCTTAGAGGGAACACTGTACTTGACTGTCTTCACCTTTTTGTAATGTGAGAGTGGCCCTCAATCTAGAGTTGCAATTAATTTGCTCCCTTCGAATTCTCCCTTGTGCACCGATCTCAACTATTAACTAGATACTTTCTGACTATTCTTCCATTTGACATCTGAAGATATTTGATGATGGTATTTGATGGGAGTGATGTGGATTATCGGGGAAAATGGGACGGGAAATTTTCTGGAATGTTTTCCCCATTCAATTTTCAACAAGCAAGATAATAATGTTAGCAACATACAAATAAAGTTAGCAAAGGAAAGCAAACACACTGTCCGCAAGCACAGGGGCTTGTCCAAGGTTCATATTCCATGTTCAGCCCATCTAACATGATTGATTTGCTGCACACCAGCCCTGACAATGATAGATCAGCAGGTAAAGGTAAAGGTTTCCCTTGCTCGAAAGCCAGTCGAATCCGACTCTAGGGTTGCGGTGCTCATCTCCGTTTCAAAGCCGAAGAGCCAGCGCTGTCCGAAGACGTTTCTGTGGTCATGTGGCCGGCATGACTAAACACCAAGGCGCACGGAATGCTGTTATATTCCCACCGAAGTGGTCCCTATTTATCTACTTGCAATTTCTTGCTTTCGAACTGCTAGGTTGGCAGGAGCTGGAACTAGAGATGGGAGCTCACTCCGTCGTGCGGCCCCCGGGTCTCGAACTGCTGAACTACTGACCGTCCACAGCCTGCAGTTCAGCGTCTTAACTATATTTATATTTATATATGTGGAGCAGAAAATTTTCCCCGCCAAAATATATAGCATCGGAAATTTTTCTGTGTCTGATAGCATTTGGTAACTGATCTGAAACGATATTTAACACTGGCGTTTGTTAGTATACAACATTATGGTATTTAATAAATTACAGGCAATGGTATTTAGTATTCGGCAGGGATGGGGTTCCATATCTGCCGCTTGCCAGAACTGAAGCAATCAAACACTGCCAACGAAGTGAAAGCATTTGCATTTCAAATATCCAGGGACTCCACGTTCAAACCTTGGATTCAAACTGGAAATTTTGAATATTTGTAAATATTTGCTTTAGCTTTCCCTGGGATCCCAATGACCATTTCGAATTACTGGCCTAGACCACCCTAAAAGGTATAACGCTGTGGATATTCAGGTTATTCATGAATTGTTTGTCAGTCACTAATTGCCGGTTCTCTAGCCAATACTAATCCAGAGAAAGTGGCCTTTGGCAGCACAGAAAAATATGCGACTCTTACTTTCACGTGATAAGGTGGACTGGATGTTTGAATCTTGGATTATGTTTGTTTTTTATTTACCCATTAGGGTCAGTTTTTATGTGTGCGATACTTTGAAGTCATGACTGTTTCTGGCTTACAGTCAAGACAAATAAAACCGAAAACGGTGTGGATTTCCAAGGCATCTGTGAACGAGTTGAAGACTGTACTGAACGTGCTGGGGTTTTTTTTGCCACATCTCTCGTTGGGCTTGGTGGATTTCTTGGTACGAACTTAAAGCTTCTGAAAGTACTGGGAGATAGTGGTGAAGAAGACATCCCCTCAACCCTTGGCAGATCAGGGCGTTAGGTCTGTGCTTTGGAACATTCCTCTTCTCGCACTACTGATTGTGGCCTAAACCCTCAGCCTCCCAACCCCCATTTTTACGCACAGCTGAAAGTTTTTACACATCTGCTGTTTGCTGTATCAATTTATTCTGTCCTGAAAAACTATTTAACAGTGTTCTTTTGTTTAAAGATACACTAGATAAAGATATACTAAATAAGTGTGTGTTAGGGTTACCGGTTCCCTCCTGGCCACTGGTAGGGTAGGGTTGCCCGCTCGGAGTTGGGAAATACCTGGAGATTTTGGGGGGAAGAGCCTGGGAAGGGCGGGGTTTGGGGTAGAGCAGCTATTCTCTCCAGGGGAATTAATCGTGGTTGCCTGGAGATGAATTGTAATCAGGGCTATTTTGGGGCAGGAACGCATAGGAACGGAGTTCTGGCTGGCTCCCGAGCTGGCCACGCCCAGCAGGAACTCATTAGCATAATAGGCCACACCCAACAGCAGAAACTCACTTAGGATTGGCTACATTAGGGGTGTGTGGCCTAACATGCAAAGGAGTTCCTGCTACAAAAAAAGGCCCTGGGTTTTGA